GGGTGCTACAAAATGTGACTATCCACAGATGGTGCCATTTGGTGCCAGAGTCTGTGCTCTGATACTCTCTTGGCTACTGGAATAGCTGTGAGGGCTGATGGTGCTGCTTTGGGCTGAAGATCTTATCCTACAGGTTGCTGGAGACTGGGAAGATGTACCAGGGAAGGAGTCACTTCATTTGGGCAATTCTGTCTTTCTCCAAGACTGAGACAAGATGGCTTGATTTGCCCCAGAGGGATTGGTCTTGCCTAAGTGCAACCCTTGCCAAATTCCACACAAACACAGGAGAAAACTGAGGATCTTACCCCAAGGAATTTCTAGTAACTAATCCTTTACAGTCCCCAGTTAGTTGTGCCTGAGGAAACATTCCTTAACTCACGATTGCTCCCCTGATTATCCTGCCTGGCAATTCTCTGATCCCTCAAGGAAATTCGGTGGCACATGGAGCTCCTTCTGCAACGTTCTCACTTGCAGAATCTGAGGCAAAACCTGAGTCTTTCTGGTCTTCCACTGGACCTTTCCACACAACAAAACCGGATCAGATTCGCTCATTCAATGTAACAACTTACGGTCAGCCTTGAGTGCCCCCAAACAAAAAAACATCTCAGCCTTGGCCTCACTCCAACAAACATAAAACTGGCCACATCCCCAGAAAACTCTTTCGAGGGCTGATAAATCCCATTCGAGCTGCTCTTGGTAATTGCCACCAGTAGCCATAAACTATGTAGACTATTTGCCATCTCACAAGTGTGGTTTCAAATGCCATGTGAGGAGGAACGTTGGATTTTAAGGAAGAGTTTGGTTTGGTTTGTTTTTTTTTTTGTTTTAATTTTGGACAGCCAGTAAAAGGAAGGCCTAGTGATTCAGAAATCAGGCCACGTGTGCCTGGACACAGTCATGGTGCTGGGTTCCTGTGACTTGACAAAGTCTTAATGACTGTTCAGCTGGTGGGCCCTGGATAATTGCCATTTGTAAGGGAAATCCTCTGTCGCTGCCTCATTATCCTACACGTCATTTCTTACAGCCTGGGAGGATTTCTGCCCTTTCTGTGATCTCTGTCTCTTTGCCCCCTGAGACATCCTCCTCTCTCCAGAGATGGGTGCTGGGGATCTGAACAGAGGTGCATTCCTGTGGTTTACACCATGAGGAAGAAAACCCACTATGTGATATAAAAACTTCCCAGAATGGAGTCAAAAAGTCATTCAATGGAGAATAACCTACAATTATTCTTTTTATTGGGATATCTGCTCACCTGCCTCTTTTCTTAGTATAGAACTGATGTTCTCAGTAAAAAACCAGGAAATATGTGATTTCATCAGTCTCATCAGCTAATGGATGTAAAGTCCTGTGCTTGTTTGCCAATATCTAAATATCTGCAGTACTTTGTAACTAATATATGAAAGCTTAGGCCTGGCTTAATTTACTAGTCTGAGTCAGTCTTCCTGTGCTCTATAATTGATAAAGAAGGTCCAACAGGCAAAATGTACCCCCATCCCAAATGCCTCATAAGACACTCAGATTTAGATGAATTAATAAATTGCATCCAGGATTGTCTATATTTTAGTGGGAAAATGGCACAGAGTTTCACTGGCCAGTGAATTGTGTGTCAATGTTAACCTAAATAAAAAATTTCTCTATTTGGGCAGTTAATCCAATTATTTCCAGTTAATCATCTGGAAAACACAATTGAGTGGCTTGACCTTAAAAAAACCAAACAGCCAAACTTTATGATTTACACTTATTTTCTTGCTGAAAATTGAATTGATTTTGCTTACATAAAACTGAATTAAATTTTTCTCCAGTCCCATAGTCATCAAATTTCTAGGCAAGAAAAATCTTGGTTAATTTGGGAAAATGGGCTATTTGCCCTGATGAAATGAGTGTTCAAACACTTCACACCTGCTTTCTTCAGTGGGACTAGGATTTCCTAGTAGCTTCATGTTTAGTATTAAAAATACTGGTTCCACCTCACTGAAGGTTCCAGGGGTTAGAATAAAAATGCAAATTATGTAAATACCAATAGAACCAAATTGGATGTACTTCCATGGGAATCAGGGCTTTAAAATTCTCAGATTCTATGATTTAACTTTGAGTTATGATTGAATTAAACTTAGAGGTTTACTGGAGAAATCTGTGGACTACAAAAGGAAGAAATCACTTTCTCTGTTTTCTTAAATCAATACTCCATCAAAGGAACACAAAACAAGCCTGTTCCACATGTGCCACATAAAAAATTGTAATTTTGAAGCGTCCTGAATTTACTCAACAAAATGTTCAGAATATTAAAATGGAGCTGATCAAAACAGAGCCACTGGGACAGAGGTGATTTAACTAATTTTAGCATTTAAGTTTAGATCTGGAATTACAGTAGTAGAATAAACAAAAGGAGATTGAAGAGCAAACACACTGAGGTCTGTGAACATCTTTTCCATCAGTGGAAGACTAATGAACATGTAGGACAGGAGGTTTTTTCCTTTTTTTGTGTGTGTTTGGTTTTCAAGAATTCAAAGAAAAACTGTGTGAAAAAGAGACATTGTGAACCTGCTATTAAATTTTGTTACTCTGAGCCAGAAAAATGTGAAGTCAGTCCATCAGCAGTTCAGATGCATTGCTTAGGAATTATTCTGCTAATCTGTCAAAATATGGGAATAAATATCAAAAGTTACTGCTCCACTCCATCCCAGTCCTCTTTCCCAGAAAGATCTCTGTGCTAAGTCATGGGGAAAAAAAAATACAGAGATAATTGGGATAAAAGAAGTTTACAAAGTTATATAAAGAGAATTTGAATTGTTCTTCAAAGAGAATAATGCAAGAAAAAAAGGAAATACCCAAGAACTATGAAACATCCAGATACCTTTAAATGACCATGGAAGAATGGAAGCTTCTTTCCATTGTCTTTAACAGAAAATGCAAATTTAAGTATAAAGACAAGATATGCAGCTAAAACTAAACTCTAGCACCAGTGGAAGGAGTTTATTTCAGGAAAGCTCAAAATTGTGCATTGAATTAATTATTTTTATTCCTCAGTGAAACAATTATATCTGGTGAAAACTCAGACACAATCATCTGTGTATCAGAAGCAGAGGTCTTGAAGCTGAGCTATGACAAAAAACTTAGAAGAACAGAGAGAGTTTAGAGAATCCATGTGAAAGGAAAAGATTGGAAAATCCAAGACAGAGTGAATTTTTTTGTGGTTTAAAAGCTTTGCACCCAAGCCTAGAGTAACAGGAAGACCTAATAGTTTTGAAATGAATGGTAGTGAACAGTTTGAAAGCAGGAGGTAAATTACTAAAATTAATAATGGCTGTAAAAGATTCCCAGGAAAGGTATTAATAATCACATATCTCCTAATTATGTGGCAGATGATGATGTTGCTGAGGTTGGACCCCTTGTCACCTATCACTGTGATATTCTGCACAGGAATTAAAGAAGTGAAAGTAGAATTATTAAGGTATAGAAAATAAACTCCTTATTGACAAAACAGTAATGAAAATTTTCATATTAAGAAAATAGAATCTGCAGGGGCTGTGGAGAGGTTAAGTGATGGTGTTTGACCCACACCCACATTTCTGCTGATGGAAAACGTGGAAAGGTTGGAAAAGACCTCCAAGATCGTTGAGTTGAAGATATTGTGTTTACAGTGTGCATATTTAGCACATATCCCACTTAAAATATTGGTGTTTATAATGACAAGAAGGAAAATAGTGAGGAATTCACTCAGGAATTACAAGGGGAACATTAAGACTGCACTAAGAAGTAGAAGGTAAAACTTTTCTTTAGAGAGATCCGTGAAAATTCTCAAAAATTGAAGAAGAGGAAGCTGCTGTCACAAGTTCACAAGATTATTATGTCCATCTGGACTGAGCAGGAGTCCAAGTCTTGAAAAGTGGAGAAATCAGTGGCAAAATAAGTCAGTTATCCATAGATTATAAAATGTCTTGTCAGCAGGATTTGTTTGGTTGGAAGCTCTTTCCAGACTGGTGGGAATACAGAAATCTCTGTGATAAGACACAGGAAGAGTGGCTTAAATTATCCCCTCTCTCTCTCATTCCTACTGCACATTCCTCTCCCCATGCCAGGTAGAAATGTGTTTATTGCAAAATATTCCTGCATTTTTTCCCCTCCTGGATAATGGGTCATTTGAACCCAGGCCATTTCAGTCACCTGGCTCAGAAAGTGACACCACAAGTGGTTGTGTTTTTACCACTGAGGAGCTGGCACTCAGCCCTGTAAAGGTGGGAAAAGTGGCAAGGGAACTGGGAATCTCCATTCACTGCAGGGACAGGGACAAATCAGGATAACTCGTGAGATCACTTCAAAAAAATGGGGGTAAAGGTTAGTTAGCTAAAAAGAGATGGAGAAGAAGTCAAGAGAATCTCAGGTTTGTCAGGAAATTCCTTTGGGAGCAGAAGAATGTAGGGATTGCCATGCCCTGAATTAATGATAAGAATTCCCCCACAGCAGATTTGCTAATTCATCAATACAAGAATATCTCCTGATCCCAGTCAAACCTTAATTTTTCAGGCATTAGTTGGTTACCTTATCATCTTATTTTATCATCCTTGGTTATCTTATCTTTTCTCTGTTGAGGATGATCCTCCCCACATCATGAGAAGTTCAACCACAAGGTGCTACCTAAGGGCCACCTGATTCTGTTGAATTCCCAGTGGTCAGGTATGGAAAAGTAGAACCTCTGTTGGGACATGCCTCCCCAAAAAAAGGTGAGAAACACTATAACTAGACAGGGTTTTATATCTGACTGCAAAAAATTAAACCTCCCATTGACCTCAAACAGTATTTGGCATGAAGTTCTTGAGTGGCTGAACAAGATTCTTGTACACCGAACTATTGTGTAATTAACGGGGAAGCGATTAATGTAACAAAGCCCGAAGGATTAAGGTAATGTGGATAAACTTTTGGACCCATGAGCTGAAGGATTTGCATCACAAGGAACTTGATGGCTCCTGTTTGAACAATTGACCAGCACCAGAGATATTTACCTTCTTCCCATCAACAGTGTAGAGCTTTTTCACCGGGAACTGCAGGATCTCCGTGATCTCATCCAGGAGCGTTTTGAAACTCCGGGCGTTCCTGCGGTTCAGGATGATGGAGCGCCGAAATCCACTTTCCCCATTCTTAACCAGAGTGATTTTCTTGGGTATTCTGGGGCCATGGTGAGTGAAAGGTGTGGAATAATCTTCCAGCTTGCCCTCCTGAGCCGCTCTCCTCATGGTGCTGGAGGGGCGGCTGTTGCGCGGCGGGGCCGGCCGGTGCCCGCCGGGGGTGATGCTGATGGGCTTCACAAACTTCTTGTCGGAGCACAGGTAGCAGCCTCCATCCTCCAGCTGGTCCAGCTCACTGATGCAGTGTATTCCTCGTGGGGTGGTGATGGTCCTGACCCCAAAGGGCAGCGGGACCCGATGGGAGAGGTCGTCCATGAGCGCGTTGAAGCTCTTGAAGCTCCGCTGGTTGATGGCCATCTTGACCCCTGCAAACTGAGGGTCTCCACTCTTGAAGAAGGTTATTTTTTTGGCTGGAGGGACCTTGGTGAGGGTGCTGGCCCGAGCCACGGTGGGGAGGGGTGGCTCATAGTTGTAGGAGCTGGTGGTTGACAGGTGGTCAGCAGGCACCTGAGTCATCCCTCTTGTTTAAAGGTAACTGCAAAGAGAAGGAAAAACAGAGTGGGGTTTGAGTATGGAAGGATCAGAGCCCGGCTGGTGTGGGAGCAAGGTTTGTGCTCGTCACAACAGCTCCATATGAGCAGATTGTACCAACAGCTCTTTGGAATTCATGGATCAGGCAGACACAGGGAAGAGCATCCAAAGCCCTGCTCCTCACAGTCCAACCCTCCTGGTCCTGCAGACTCCAGTGGGAATCCAGTCAGTGTCAGTCACCCCCGAGGCACAAAAAGCATGAGTCAGACCCCAAGCAAAACCCACAGAAAGTGCATTGTTGTCCTTTGGAGTTTTGTGTCTTCCTTGCTTATATTTTTGAGGTTTTTTCTGAAATTGTCATAGCCAGTGATTACTTCAGCTTTATTTTTACAAGCACAGCACTGAGATTCTCATGTAACCCTTTAACCCCGTGGACAGGGGCATAACAAAAACCAAAACAAAGCTGAATTTCCTCATGTTGTGATTACATTTTGTGGCACACAATCAGTCCTGAGCTCACTGAGGGGCACAGCAGTCTGGTTTTAGAACAAGCCATGCCATAATGTGCTCAGTTCTGGATGAAAAATTTCTGGCAGTTATGCAAACAAATAGCACAAGGCATCAAATAGAACTACAAAACTTGGTTCTGCTAAAGAGTGGGAAAGTTGGAGATTGGTTGGGATCATCTGCACAATTTTTTTTGGTGCCCTTCACTTTAAAAGAGAAACCGATTTTGGTGTTTCAGTCTGGTGGTTGCATGCCAAGTTTTCAACACAAGTGATTTTAATTTTATTGTCCTGATGAAGACAAGACTCTTTATTACTTGCCCTTATCAGATCCATTGTCACGGAGGCCAGTAGCTAAAAAATTCAGACCTCACATGGAATGAAACTGTTATGCACAAAAAAACCCACACCTAGATTTTGACATGAATAAAATAAAAGGATGAACACTTTTTTTTTACAACTGCTAAAATATTGGCTGTAATGAGTACAATACATTTATTTCATTAATATGAGCAGTGATTCCCCAGCTTACTCTGAGTTAATTACTGAGTCTTCAATCAAGACTCTAAAAATGGCACTTAGATATGTCATCTTCAGGTCATTTATCTGCTCACAGGTAGGATCTAATTTGAATTGTTATTAAGGAATCAGTAGAACTGTAACTTGCAGAAGGGAGTTCTAGCCACAAACACCTACATCCAATTTATTTTCCAAATTCTGTTCTTAGCTGATATCAGTTTTCTATGGTAACTTTCAAAAAATATCTTACAAGAAGGGAAATTCTTTAGTGCTCACAAATTAATTAGAAAATAGTAAATGTATTTATAATGAAATGGTTCCTTCAGTTTGCTCCTGGTTACCTCTCTTGCAGCAGCTGAATGAAGTTCTAGTCTGAATAATTGTAATAATCACAATTTATTCTCTGGAGAATCAATTTAGTGCCCACTGCCATTAATGGGAATTTTGTCACTGTTGGAGCATTCAAAAAGCTGTAAATGCTGCATTTCTCTGCATTTTAGAACAAAACCATTATATTCTTACCACAGTACCCTCAAGTGAAATATTTTTGCATGTTGTACCACAGCAAATGCTGCAATAAATGGAAGTTTGAGCTCAGCTAGGTGAGAAAAGACATTAGGCATCATTTGAAAAACCATTATTGTGACAAATCCCTGCTTTTTTTACATCCAGGCACACCCCAAAGATTTCAGTATGATTTATTCTTTCAACGTACACATTTCACCAAGCAATTATTCACTTATTTATTTCCCAGTTAAAGGTCAATCCATTACTCCAACTCATCATTTCCAGGGAAAAATTATCTCATTTCTCTATTTTCCAACAGTTTTCAGAAAGGTGGGTTCAACTTTTTCTCCACAAGCCCCACATTGGAGCTTTCAAACAGCAACAGCATCAATTCCAAACAAACCCATTATCCAAATTGTAGTCACTGGACAAATGGTGATCCACAATATGCTGACTGCATTCCCAGAAATCTAAACTGCTTCCCAAGGATTTATTGTACATTTTTCAAGTTTTTAAATCATACTGTAAGAAGTACAGAAAAAAAAATAAATAGAGAAAAAAACCATAACGTGCTTTCCTAATACTACTTTTCTTGGGGAATAATTTCATAGTATTGTTATGGGATTACTAATTTAAAGGAATATTATTCTTTGAGTTTTGGGTGATAGAGCTGATTACCCATCCCAGCCTAGAGGGTCTGTCAGGTCTGCTCTTACAAAGCCATATATCCACAAAAAAAGGAAATATAAACAGTTCCCATACAGAGAAATTTAATATTATCCATTTGAAAGGTCAGCGTTGGAAGAGAATTCTGCAGTTAATCTGCAAAGGAAAATGCCCATCTTGCCCAAATACACCTTTTTAGAGAAATATGAAAAGTCTCAATGCATCTTTTTGTACTTACATTGAAATACTTCATCCCTCTGGCTCAAGATGACGTTTTCTTACAGACTATCCAAGGGATTAAAAATAAAACCAACCAAATAATAACGATTTACAAAAGCAACACATCCAGCCAGCCACCTACAGGATCAAACACACTGGAAAAGGCAGGGAAAAATGTTAACAGGTTACCTGCTGTCAATCAAACTGGCCTCAAAATGACTTAGCACAGCTTGGAGGGTTAAGCAGGGCTGTGTTGCTAAGGATAGAAAGAAAAGCTACCTAAGCTGCTGGAGAGGGCTCTCAAATCCACTGGGGTTTTAGGCACAATTTGTCCAATCCTTCTCTTCCTTGTGGCCATGTAACTCTGGTATAAATCTGACTCTGCTCTGAAATCACACCAGTACAACTGGAAATGCAATCCAGGGTGTATTCCTCTCTTAAATAAAGACCTGCAGAGACCTGGAAAGCTTTCCTGATCCAAACCACTCGTTAAAATGCTTTGGAATTTTATTTATCTCTCGGCCACCCCAGGGAAATCGATGGGACTGGATCAGGATGGTGGTGGCTCTGAAGGGTTTGTGTGGATCTGTCACTTCTCACCTGGTTGATAGCCCCTCACTCAGGACAGAGATGGGTGAGATCCAGAGCAGGGAAATATTAACAGGAAAGTCAGGAGAGCCCTAACCCCAAAATTTGCAAGTTCATGGCAGATGTCAAAGTCACAGTCTCAGAATGATGGTCAGCAGCTGGATCATTGAGATTTGAGCATGAAATAGGGACAGACAAGCACGTGAATGACAAATAATGGGAAATTACTTGTTCTGTCATCATTCACCTGTAAGAGCCTTCCTCTTTGATCTCTCAGTTCCTACTTGCAAAAAAAGACACATACAAAAACAAATACAAAAAAAAACCATTTAGATTTAGGTACAAAATCAATGAGAAATCTCACTCCTGCATGGACTGGAATTTTTAAAGATTGGACCTGATGATCTTGGAGGTCTTTTCCAACCTTAGTGGCTGTGATTCTGTGATCCCATTACTCACACAGCCTGTGCACCTTTCTCACTCCCAGCACTAAGCATATTCTTTTGAAAAAAAAACAAATTACTTGCACAGAGATCAGGGTCATAACGGGCTTCTCTTACAAGAGCAGGGATCAAGGGATCCTGCAAGAATAAACTCAGCAAGGTTTGCATCTCAGATCCTTAACAAGAATCTTCTAAATGTAATGCCAGTGTAGGAGCCCAGTCCTCTTTGTACAGCACTGCTTTTCCAGCTGTGCACACATCTTTGGGGGTCCCAGGGCCATTCCTGTGGGATCCTTGAGCCAGAGGACCAAGGTCATCTCTTTGTAGGCTTGCATTGAGTATAAGAGGTCACAGCTCTACAGGAAAATTTGTAGGAGCCCATCCATGGGAAAGACTGAACCCCTCATGGAGGCTTTTCTACACACTCAGGGCTGTGCCAGGGAGCTGGTCCCTGGTTTTTAATTTCCTGTCAAAGTTCAAAATGAAATCTCAAAAAGAATGAAGTATAACAGGCAGGGAAGTCCTGGACTTACCAACCCTATCAAAACTCTGTTGTTGGAATTCACACAGAGGAAGCTGTGTGACCCCTTAGCCAAAACCTAATGGTTTGGTTTGGGTTGGAAGGGACATTAAAGATCCTCTCATCCCATCCCCTGCCATGGGCAGGGACACCTTCCACTATCCCAGGTTACTCCAAGCCCCGTCCAACCTGGCCTTGGACACTTCCAGGGATCCAGGGGCAGCCACAGCTTCTCTGGGCACCCTGTGCCAGGGCCTCCCCACCCTCACAGGGAACAATTCCTGCCCAATATCCCATCCATCCCTGCCCTCTGGCATAGGAAGCCATTCCCTGTGTCCTGTCCCTCCATCCCTTGTCCCCAGTCCCTCTCCAGCTCTCCCTTCACTTGCAGCATGAACATCTGTTCACATCAGCCTTCTGTCCCCTGCACTGCTCTTACCTTGGAAAGTTTTTTCCCCTCCTTCTCTGTGTTGGGATGTAGCAGAAATAAAGGAATGCAGGTGTCACCCAGAAGGTGCCTGAGCCAGGGCAGGAGAGCTCTCAGGGAATGACTCCATGAATTGAGCACCAGGTCTATAACCATTGTTCAAGGCATTTATGACCTTCCTGACTGGACTTAAATATTTTAAATTATCAAGAATCCATCCCATCCAGCAGTGACAGCTCATTAACCTCACTTAATACTAAAATCTGTGTTTTTCCTCCCACCTGAACAGTCCCAGTGTCAATTTTTTATGGCTTTTGTTGATTAATTAGGGTGCAGAATTTTGATGGAAATTTCCCTTCCCATACAAGTAATTGCAGCTTCTACTCCTGCAAAGTCATTTCTTTCAGACAGAAGAAAAATTTACAGACCACCACTAACATTTGGATTGCAGCTGGTTGAAAACTCCAGGTTTGTCTTCCAGGGAAATCATAAACAATATGATTTCATGTAGAATTTTTCCCAGAGTAGGTGGAAGTTTCTAGCTAGGAAGA